CTAGGCCTTCCTTCAAATGAAGACTCTCAGGCTTCATAATGTTCATGTTCTTTGCAATACTTATTACTAACAAAGTGATGTGTACAGAACCGCCCGAGAAATGCAACAGCTTGTTGTAACGAATGTAGAACCATGACCAAAGTTTGCATTTTCGATCATTGCAGTGATTCAAAAAGCTTTCACCAGTAATCGTTACAGGAACATGACCCATTTTTGATGTGGTGAAACCTGTTTGAATCCCTTACCACTATCTCTCTCCCTGTTGCAATCGATATGTATTTCATGGCTGCATGACAATCTCCACACACTCGAAGATTTTTAAAAATCCTAATGGGCTTTGGTTTACTTGTGCTAATAAGACCAAATGCCAAAGCTATTTTTTCACTATGTTGAAACAAATATTGTTCCTTTTGTTCCTCCTCCACTTCATGAAGTACAAAATCCGTGTTGGGGACATAGCCCATCTCCTTTATTTCGAGCAACAACCGATCTAGTTCTTCATATATATCCCTTGTCCGAGGATGTTTAGTATCTCCTACATAAAACTTGTGTACCTTATTTTCTGCTTCCATCCAGCTGCACCCTGCCTCCTTAACCAAATTTCTATCTTTCATACATTTTCTGATTTTTGCCACCTTCCCCCACTGACCACTTGAAGCATACAAGTTTGATAATAAAATATAAGCTGCTGGATCATTTGGATCCTGCTCAAGAATCATCTCTGCTGCATCTTTGCCAAGTTCTGCATTGCCATGGACTCGACAAGCACTAAGCAATGTGCGCCAAACCAGAGTGTCAGCCATAAAAGGCATTGACTCGATGAATTGTATGGCCTTTTCTAGAAATCCCGAGCGACCTAACAAATCAACCTTGCATGCATAATGTTCCATTCTCGGATGTATCCTATGTTCTTTGTACATCAGATGGAAGTATCTCCATCCCTCATCAATTAGACCTGCATGGCTACAAGCTGACAAAACAGCAATATAAGTGACCTCATTCGGTTTTGCGCCAAAATCAAGCATTTGCTTGAATAATTCCAAAGATCTTTTCGCGAATCCGTGTTTAGCAAAGCCTGTGATTATGGAAGTCCATGATATCACATTCCGATCTTCCATTTGTTCGAAAACTTGAAATGCAGCTTCTATGTTACCACACCTGGTATACATAGAAATCAAAGCATTAGCAACACATTGGTTAGACTCAAACCCGGATTTCAGCAATTGAACGTGTATTCGCTCTCCCTTACCAACTGCTCCAACACTTGCAGCTCCGCTCAAGAGACTTGCAAATGTAAAAGCATCAAGACCAATTCTTGAACCATCAATATGAGTATAAAGCTCAAAAGCTTCGTTAGATTCCGAATTCCTAGCATAACCATCAATAAGTGCATTATAAGAAATCAAATTCCTCTCAAATAAAAATTCAAAAGCTTTTCGTGCATCTTCCATCCTATCAGTCTTAGCATACATGCTAATCAAAGAATTGCCAACAAGATTAACTGATGCAAGACCCAATTTCACTACATGATTGTATATCTGTTCACCCAAATCCGCATTAAAAAGATTCCCACATGCCTTCAAAACACTAGCAAATGTAAACTGATTCGGCTTCACTATACTTTCTATCATCATCCTACAATACAACTCAATAGCTTCCTTCTCAAAGCTTCCATTTTGCACATACCCTGTGATGATTGCTGTCCAAGACATGACATTGTGCTCTGGCATTCGATCAAAAACTTTTCTCGAATCATCCATTGAGGAATTCACGGAGCACTTTGCATACATGTCCACCAAACTACACCCAACACAAACATCAGAACATAACCCATTCTTGATGACCCAACACTGCAGTTGCTGCCCAAGAAACAACCACCCCAATTCAGAACAAGCTGATAAAACACTACTAAATGTAAACCGGTCAGGTGTAAACCCAGCCAATACCATATCCCTAAACAACTCAATTGCATTCTCCGGTAACCCCAATTGGGAACATCTCGTAATCATCAATGTCCACGAAACAGAATTTTCTCTGGCATTTCATCAAACACATTTTTGGCTAACTCCAAATCATTGAACCCCTTCGCAAATAAATCAATCAACGCACACCCAACACAAACATCAGCTTCAAAATTCCCAGTTTTCAACACAAAACCTAAAATTACCACCCCAACCCACGCATATTCTTTATTAATCGCCTGTAAATTCAAACCACTGCGCACATAGCACGAAATCATCGCGCTCCACGAAACCAAATCCCTCTTATCTCCCTCCATACTTTCAAAAATTTCCTCAGCCCTTTCCCACACCCCACATTTCGCGTACAGGCTGATCAGAGAATTTAATGCAATTGAATCACACTCAAGTTTGGACTCCACAAGTCTGGAATGCACAACTCGACCCAGATCAAAATTCCGGGTCCGAATGCAGGACTTGAGTAGTACAGAGTAGACAGTGAGATCTGGTGTGAAGCTATTCTTAGACATGAAATCGAGGATCGAGATTGCTTCCTTGATGTGGCCCACATTTGCTTGACTGATCAAAGTGCCCTTGAGAGTTTCAAAATTAAGGTTTTTGCGAGGGAGATTGCTGGTGATTCTTTGGCGGGAAGGATGGTTGGATTTGAGTACAAGTGAAGAAGCGGGGGAAGGAAGAGAGAGACTTATCATGACGTCTTTAACGGCTATCTCTAGTTGATACGTTATCTCTGACACCAGTCCTCGATTATATATGGTGAGGCTTGCTGAACGTGAACGGGCTTATGAAGGGAAACATGCCCATTTGAAGAATTTTTTATTCCCATAAAAAATATGTATGCCGAGCACAATAAAAAATAAGAGGGGTAATTATCACATTATAATCACGTCACAATTTAAAATATGATTTTAATAAATACACAACAATAAATTTATAATTATAATCTTAATACAACAAAAATTAAGATTAAAAAACCAAAAAGAAAAAAAATCTCCATACAATAAAACTACGAATGAAAAAAATTAAACATTTGGTGTGCCTATCTTCCAACATTGATAAAACAACAATCTTAATAGTCCTGATGAAGGAGAAAGCTTTGAATGGAGGTGTAATTTTTGGGTAATTTTTTTTTTTCAACGAAAGATGGTGAAACTACTTTCCATGATCCGATGGTCAATCAATTTCCTATTTTTTATAGTTAGGGTTTTAGCAATCATGGAAGTCCAAACCTTTATGGTCAATGTGGACAGCCTGAAGTAGCCCTTCTCGGTGTCCAGATGGGTTTCACTCTGGCTCCAACAGTAATGTTTTATGTTTGTGGTGGGACTATAATGTGATGTGATTAATTAAAAGTATATTAAAACATTAGTTATGTGATTTCACTTAATACTATTTAAGGAAATAAGAAAAATGTTAAAATTTGTGGTCCCTTAATAAATTTTGTGATGATAATATATTTTTCCAAATAAGATGATTAAAAGCTTCACACTTTTGTATCTCAATTGCTTGCTCAGAATGGACTCTGACCATTTTAGCCCAATTTGAATACACTACTGTTGTTACTTTGTTCCTCAACCGCGAACTTAGAATGATACCAACCTTTATCCTTGGACACGACACATACTGGTGTTTAAACCACTCTTCTTATCGATTCTGCAAGTCACCTTGACACGGGTCAAGAAATTACTTGAAAAGTCAATTCAAACTGGAACATTAAAATCGATTAAAACAAAGAAATCGAAATTGCTTTTAAATTTTTGTATCATATGGAGTTCATAAATTATCAAGGTAAGACAATTTTCAAACAAGGAGGTGCG